CCCCCGGCCCGGGGCTCCCTCCCTGAGCAGCCTCCCACCCGCAGCAGGGAAGGGCACCCGCCCTGAACCTGAGACGGGCTTGCAGGGGGAGCCCGCAGACTTTGAGCTCGGTTCCTTCTCAGACCCTTGGGCCCTGGCAGCCCCTGAGCACCCCAGCTGGTTCCACAGAGCCCAGGGGCAGGGAGCAGGTGCCGCTCAGAAGTGGCTGCTGTTAATGAGCTGGCAGCGCCCAGGGCGGGGGCACCCTGGGACCCAGGGCAGCGCCGCGTTTGCAGACTGGCCTGGCCCCTGAGGGGTGGGCTGAGGCTGCACCAACTCTGCCCAGGTGTAGATGACGCACCAGGAGCGAGGCGGGGGCTGGCACCTGGTTGGGCACAGCTTGGCGCAGGCAGCCCTGGCTGAGCCGAGGGAGGGCAAGCGCTGGGCCCCATCACAGACCCAGGGCCCCATCACAGACCCAGGGCCGCGTTTGCAGACTGGCCTGGCCCCTGAGGGGTGGGCTGAGGCTGCACCAACTCTGCCCAGGTGTAGATGACGCACCAGGAGCGAGGCGGGGGCTGGCACCTGGTTGGGCACAGCTTGGCGCAGGCAGCCCTGGCTGAGCCGAGGGAGGGCAAGCGCTGGGCCCCATCACAGACCCAGGGCCCCATCACAGACCCAGGGCCCTTTCACGAAGTATATTAGGTACAGGGCTGAGGTGAGGCTGGGAGGGAGGGGACCCCACCGGACACAGAGAGCCGAGAGGCAGGGCGACGGCCCCACATACCCCCTTCGGCTGTATCGCACCACGCTCTAGGGACAGTTGTTAGCTACAAACTCGCCGGAAAGTCCCAGCCCCCATCCTGGCCGGCAGGCCCCTGCGCCCTCAGACGTACCCGCTGGCTAGTGGGGCCACAGCAAACAGCGCCATGCTGAAACAGTGCTCAGCACCAGGGTGCAGGATGCAGCCCCCGGAGCCCCGGAGCGGAGCCAGACCCCACAGAGCAGTGGGGGCTGAGAGATGGGGGGTTCCCCACTGCCAGCCCCTCCCCATTGCTTGCTCCCTCCCTCTCCCCCACACCCCCTCCACCAGCCTCTTGGGTGAAGTCATAATGCTGGACTTATGACATCACCGTCGGTTGCCATGGGAAGGCTCGTGATGTCCCTAAGCCCTGAGGGAAGGGTGGGCCCAGGATGGGGGTGGCCTGGATGGAACCCAGAGAAGGGGAGGGGGGGCGTAAATCCCCAAGAGCGGGGCCAGGAGGGTGGGTGCTCCCAGGCAGGAGGGTGGGGGACCCCCAAGAACAGGCTGAGGAAGCCAGGAGGGTCCTGCTCAGACAGTTCTGTGCCTGAGGCCCTGCTCCCCCCGGCCAAGCTGCTCCTGGGGGGAGAGGGGACCTCACAGGCACTGGGGCAGCAAGCTGCTCCCCACAGAAGCCCCGGGGGGGGAACGAGCTGAGCCGAGAGCGGGGCTGGACCCCAGCTCCCTGTGGTCCGAGCCGGGGCAGCCAGCCCTGCTCCAGAGGGTTTGCGCTGGCCTGGCCTGCTGCAGCCCGGCGTGCCCAGCTTTGCA